TTGATAGTTTTAAATATGTACAACAGTGTACCAATAATGCAGTATTCATTGCATATTAGAGGAAGGATAGCCTATCTCAAACAAAAATGAGAAACTGAACTCTGCAAAGAATAAAACAGAATTCATTCAAAGAAATATATGTGTTTTTAACAACAAGGAGTATGTAAGTGGATGACGATACCTTCGTATTACTGACCAGCTTGTGTATAATAAACTACTTGGTTGGTATTTTGTTGCTTTATTGTACTACCAAGGCGTATAATTTTACCACACCTACTAGGAAATGATACATTGCAAGTGCAATGTCTACCTATTCTAATTAGAGACCTGTGATGCATACCAGGTTTGTATTGTCCAGAAAAAAGTTTAACCCCAATGACTATATACTGGGAGTATTAACTTTGAACGTTAAGATGTGGCATTGATTTATAGTCCTACAGATATATAAAACGTGATGTTCTTTGAAAAAGGAATGCATATACAAATTACAGACGAAACAAACTCACAGACTGATAGACAGATAGATGATTTTAAAATTACAACCTTTAACTAGAGATTATAATTAAATAAACTCTTTACTGTGCAAACTATTGAAACAAAAATTTGTTTATTCTTGATCTTTGTTTTTATAAAACCAATTTCCTGTAAAGTCAGGCAGTGCACTTAAAGACTAAGAAATTGAAGAACATTTAATTCCCAATCCCACAAATATCCTTAATGTGATTTCAATTTAATTACTGTACACTTTCTCACTCAGAAGCATCCAGAATGCTGGGTAATATCAGCATGATCTCTTTTTGATAGGAAACATTTTTCTTCTTTATAGGTTTTGAGAAAGGCCTTTAAAATGTTAATGGGAAATTTGTAGTTTATAAGATAACGTTCAAATAAAGAGGATTAGCCATTACCAAACCTTCACCAGCATCTCTATCCAAAACATATAGAAGTAGCCAAAAGAAAATAATTCAAAACAATGCTTACTTTTGAAGTCGGTGTATCGTCAAATCTTCTGTTTGCTCAATCTCTACAATCGTCTAAGGGTCAGATGATCTCATTAAAACAAACTGATAATCTGAGGTCAAGAAACATGTATTTTAAAGTAAGATGTTTTTAACAAATAGAAATGGTACACAGATAAAACTGTCATTATTTTATTACCGGTAGCTGCTTTACCTTGAAAAAATTCGATTAAATCCCTAAACTTTGATTTTTCTTCCGCTTTCGCGAAAAAGCAATGACTTAAATCTCATTCATATGTCTAGCGAAGTGTCCGTTCGTCTATCACAAAAATTAAACCTTGGTAAAAATTTTTAATGAGAGAAGGATAGGGCTTTCATATTGAAGATGTGCCTATACCTTTCCGTTTGACTTCATAACCTTGAAGTTTGATCTGCTTAAAAAATTATTTTGGCTGTAAATTTTGTACTGGAAGAGATACGGCTTTCATATTTTACATGTGTACTACCTGTGAAAAGACCTTTTCAGATGTACCATGTTTTTATAAGTATGACCTTGACCTTGAAATTTGAAGCCCTTTTACAAATTTTAACCTTGACCATAGCTTTTGTACCTCAAGAGATAGGGTTTTCATATTTTACATGTGCATAACGTGTGCATAACCTGTGACAAGACCTTACCGAATATATTTTGATTTTTTTACCTCATGACCTGGACGTTGACCTACATTGTACTTTTAAAAAAAATCTTGGCCGTAACTTTTGCACCAGAAAAGTCAGGGCTTGGAATAGACCTTTCGGAATGCACTATGGTTTTTGACACCATGACCTAGACCTTGATGTTTGCAACAGCATAGAGATCAGGTTTTTCATATTTTACATGTGCATAACGTTTACATAACCTGTGACAAGACCTTACCGAATATATATTGATTTTTTTACCTCATGACCTTGACGTTGACCTACATTGTACTTTTAAAAAAAATTCTTGGCCGTAACTTTTGCACCAGAAAAAGTCAGGGCTTGGAATAGACCTTTCGGAATGTACTGTGGTTTTTGACACCATGACCTAGACCTTGGTGTTTGCAACAGCATAGAGATCAGGCAAAGGTACATTAGATACATGATTGAGCACTTGTACATGTGTATAATTCAATCTCCGCGGTTGCTGAATTGTAAAGACATTTGTCTTTTGTGTAAAATTCGCGAGTTTGAATCCTGGCCGAAGCATAGATTAAATTTTATAATAGGTTTTATCCATTCTGTTTCAAGAATTGTCATTTCTGCTGTGCTCCCACATACACCTCATTCAGGCGCCCGCTGTACAAGATTCTTGGAAAATTATATCTAGCATCCCTTAAATCTGTTTATTTTAAAGTATTAAAACATGTAAAAAGAGCTATTTGCAAAATATAAATTAAAAACTTTGAAAAAAAATTTTTAAGGGATAATAAATTTAGAATAAATCATTTTTACAGATAATCAAAATATTTAAAAACACAATTTTAAATATCATTTTTCACCATTTACGACATTTAAAAAAAAAAACAAAAAAAAAAAACAAGATTTGTTTGTGAAACACTGATGCCCCCGTATGGTAACTTAAACTTTCTCAAATGCATGTTGGTAAACAAAGTAAGGTCTTGTCCCGAGGAATATACGAGGGGTTATCAAAAAGTTCGTGGACTAGCGTCATAAAATTAAAACCGCTTTAGGTACATCAATGAATTTTTACACATTTAGTTAGCATCATCTTTTCTATCTATAGAATAAACCATAAATCATAATTTTTATTTTTTAATAAATTGTTAGTGTTTTTGTAAGCAAAGGTATGTCCAGGCGGCGCAACCTCTAATATGACGTTTTTTTCTACCTGGGTATAACTGAGAAAAACTCTTTAGATATGAGTATTTGTCATCCAAAAATCTCGTTAATTCAGGCATGTGGTATGACACATTTGTTTAGTAAAATTTGCAATTTTTACCCGATTCTGTAATTTCTATGAAATTTTATCGTAAATTTTATATGGAGTGTCCAAACAATTATGGACTTGAAAATAACGTCAACAAGGGGGGGGGGGGGGTTTCTTTTTCAATCACTCTATAGAGTTTCGCTCCTGGAAAAACTGGTATTGACCTAAGGAATGTTTAAACTGGCTACAGAAAAATAAAATGCATCCAGAGTACTTGTTTTTAATGCCCAAAAAGATTCAGAGAGATGAAATATGCACAGTTAGTGTCGATTTGTAGTCAGGGTGTCAAAAGTCAGTCACGTCGAAAAGTGACGTTGATCATGTGTGGTAGAAATTGAACTCCAACAAACTAAGTATTCTGGCATAATCAGGTGAGGATCTTTCCCCATATAAAGATCCATTTACAATATTATATGCATTGAAAACAGCTGCTCAAGACATTGTAAATTCATATAAATAAGACGGGTTTAAGTCCTTACTTAACTCCAGGTAATCTCATCAATATAATTGTATGAGGTAGAGAGAGCGGACATTAAGAAACAATGACGTTAAGCGGACGTCATGACACTAAACGGCGACAGCGCCGGGTGATCACATAAAGTCTTTTTAATTTTAGAATAATTTGGCAAATTATCAACGTATCAAGCTAAAATTTTCAACATTTCTTAAACTTTTGTTGTTTTATGTTCCGCTTAAATTTTGTAAGCAAAGACTACATATTATTAATTTTATCGCGTCAGTCCACGAACTTTTTGATAACCCCTCGTACCTGTGAAATATGAAAGTCCTAGCAGCAACCATTGAAAAGATATAGAAAAGGTTAAAGATATTCAGAAGTAAGTCAAACATCAAGGTCAAGGTCAAATAGTCAAAATTAATGGTGCCCAAGGAAGGGCCTTCTCACAAGAAATGTACATGTGGAATATGAAAGCCCCAGCACCAATCGTTCAAAAGATATGGGTAAGGTTAAAATTTTTCAAAGTAGATCAAACTCCAAGATCAAGGTCAAAAAGTCAAAGTTTGTATCCAAAGAAAGGTCTTGTCACAAGGATTACATTTGTGAAGTACGAAAGCCCTAGCACCAACCGTTCAAAAGTTATGGCAAAGTTGTTGGTATCCAAAAAAAAGGTCTTGTCACAATGATTACATGTGAAGTATGAAAGCCATAGCTCTAACTATTCAAAAGTTATGGCCAAGGTTAAAGCTGCGTAAAATTTTGTAAAACTGGGTCAAAATCCAAGGTCAAGGTCAAATATAATGGTTCTCAGAGAAAGGTCTTGTTACAAGGAATACACACGTGAAATATGAAAGCCATAGCTCCAACCAATCATAAGTTATGGGCAATGTTAAAGTTTTTGCGGACAAACAGATAAACAGACAGACAGACAGACAGACAGACGGACGGACAGGGCAAGAACTATATACCCCCGAATCTTCGATACGGGGGCATAAAAAAAGAAAAAAAGGATGAAATGTAAGGCACGAACGACAACTCTGAATAGAAAATGGGTATTTCTGCTGTTGAAAAATGCCGGATTAAAAGTTAAATTTAGAGGTCATTCGGAAGAGACTTTAACAGTATGGACCACCTATTACCACTTATTACAGAACAATAAAATACCTTACTGCATTGGCCTGAGTCTATGACACAGGTATTGACAAATCAGTATTAGTTACATGTAGCGAATTCTTAATATGAGTAACAAATATTAGCAGAGATATCGATGTAAACGACATACAAACAATCAATACCTTAATAAGGTCATTGATATATTGAAATAATTCATTTTAAGAATTTAATATAGCAATAAAATTTTGATATCTAAAATTTAAAAAGGATTCAAGTGCGTTATGAATATCGACTAGCGTAAGTAGGGGCTTAGACGTATACATACGAATGATTAGGTTGGGATAGCTTGGAAATAGATTGTATGTAAAGAAATGATACATTGAAATTATTTTAAAAAGATACAATTTCAGATTGTTCATTTTCCCTTAGAATTCTCTCACAGGTCATCTCTGCACGCTTTAACTCACATACTAGCTTATCCTGCATTGCCCATTCTTTACAGAAGTGAATATAATATGGGCTGCCCACCAAACCCACCACAGCTCCGAGGACTATAACTTCACCACTGCCCTCCGTCAGTCATGTATCCTCCGCTATATATCATGGGTAAGAGTTTCAAGATGGCAACGACACACAGGTAAACTTAATGCATGAGATAAAAATGCCCTCCCAAAATGTTAGATGTAAGTATGCAAAGCATTTCCTCACTGGATTTGCCGTAAAGTGAACATCGATTTTGACAGCGGCTATTCAATTTGTTACAGAATGGATTTTTTCAATATCTTAAGGTCATACGCAATGTTCATGTACCTCACAATGTACTTTACAAATTACCTTACTTATTGATAAGTTTTTTCAAGATTTACTGAAATTTAAATCTTAGTACCATCTGATATTCTATGACAAAAAAAAAAAAATCAGCGTACATTACCAGGGGTTTAGAATAGATATTAAATAATGAAAATCCTTTTGTTTTGCAAAGAAAAAATTACCAAAAATATAGTTTTAGCTGGTATTTCCTCAAAACTAGTTTTAGAGGTGGTGTTACTGTAAAGCATTATATTGCATCATAAAAATTGCACAAAGGTCTTTCATTTTTTGCAGTTCTTCATTTATACAGAAAATAAGAGAAAATGTGGAAAACTACGTTGCGTATGTCTTTAAGGGAGACAAATAGTTTACAATCCTGTATTAGGACAAATAATTAACATAGATGATTTATTCTGACCATACTATGAAAAATTATTAAGGATATATTCTTCTTAGGTGTCCTGTGCGTCTCTTGTTGTATCCATCAAAATAAGCTTGGTGTTTTCCCCCAAATAACTTATTTCCTTGCACATTTTGATTCTTTGTATTTTGAGTCTTCTCAAAAACATGAAGGAAAGTTAATTTCTAGTCTAAGATTATATCGTTTTCAGAAATTAAAATTTTTCAATCGTCTATGAAAAATCCAAAAGAATTAAATTTTGGTTTCCCTCCATATTTTAACACATTTTATCTAAACAAAAATTGCTCACTAACTCGTAATTTTCTTATTTTGTTTTAATTAATGAATAAATTGAATTGAAATTCCGTAATTGAAATGTTCAATTTAATTTATCTCAGCAGGATGCATCCTTAATCTTGTTTTACTATTTAGACTGATATTATTCGCTTCATTAAGGAATATAATTATAAATAATGTTTTCATGAGGACATGATAAAATGATTAAAAGAATCATTCAATCTTCAAATTTATTTCTACAGCTGAGCACGAATCGGGAAAACTGTTTGATTTAATGTATAATGAATATCAACTCTGGTACTAAAATTGCACAGTTAGTGATTGTAGACTTAACGTTGGTCATATATCTGAGAAACATGTTAATGAGTAAAAACCTCAGTACTAAAATTTAATAATTTTGATCCTGCAACATGGCTTTTGATCGAAGGATAGGGCCAGTTGGTCATGTATATTTCTTTGAACATCTCCAGTTCTGTTCATCCAGAGGATCAGTGTTTACATTATTACAGTGAACACTATGATCTTGCAGGCTTTGGAAGGAAATTATTTTATAGTAAGTAAGTTATGTAAATCAGGAGGGTATGAATGAAGCTTTTAGTATACAACATAGCAACGGGTTGAACATTTCTTAAGATGTTCAACATTTACATTGCAACAAATTGATTCTCAAATAGTCTTCAGCTTAAGCGAATGATTAAGACTGTATGAAGGTACTCTTGATTTTGATCTACAATATACTGTAATAAATAACTATAATAAAGAATGTATCTATAGGAACAGATTAATTATCTTCTGGATTTTACTCATGTTTCGAGAAGGAGTGCCATTGTTTGGAACATCTTTCATGTTATATAAATAATTGTTTATATCTTGAAATTTACCAAGCCACTAAAAATATCAATCTTTGTTAATTATTACATTTTGATATTTGAACTCTTTATGAAATCATTATAACGTATAGGTTGGTTATGATTACAGATGTTTGTATTTCTGATGTCTATAGTCTGATGTATAGGTTGGTTATGATTACAGATGTTTGTATTTCTGATGTTGCTATAGTATGATGTACAGGTTGGTTATGATGACAAATGTTTGTATTTCTGATGTCTATAGTCTGATGTATAGGTTGGTTATAATTACAGATGTTTGTGTGTCTGATGTTGCTAAATCTGATGTATAGGTTGTTTATGATTACAGATGTTTGTATTTCTGATGTCTATAGTCTGATGTATAGGTTGTTTATGATTACAGATGTTTGTATTTCTGATGTCTATAGTCTGATGTATAGGTTGTTTATGATTACAGATGTTTGTATTTCTGATGTCTATAGTCTGATGTATAGGTTGTTTATGATTACAGATGTTTGTATTTCTGATGTCTATAGTCTGATGTATAGGTTGTTTATGACAACAGATGTTTGTATTTCTGATGTTGCTAAAGTCTTATGTATAGGATGGTTATGATTACAGATGTTTGTATTTCTGATGTTGCTTTAGTCTGATGTATAGGTTTATTTGTAATTACAAATGTTTTTTTTCTGATGTCTACAGACTGATATATAGGTTGGTTTTTATAATTACAGATGTTCTACCTTCCGTTAGCCTTGATCATGCCGCCTTCCGTATTCTTGGTTCACTCCCAGTTCAACTTGCTGTATCAGTTCTGGATACACACAGAGGTAACGAAAATGTACTCAAATAGACTTTATTATTTTATTTGCAGTAATAGGTGGTCGATACTTTGATTTAAAAAAAAAATGATATATTCAGAACTAAAGTTACATATCTATTGGATTTTATTGGGAAAAAAATGTTACATATTAAGAGTCTGAAATGCATAAAACATGCATGAGACTAATCTGACGCTGAATTCTTTTGAATTCACTTTCCACAGTCTCTTTATAAAAGTGTGAGGGTCAATCATCAGTAATTCTCAACCACCAATGATTGATCATGATGAAAAATGGAAAGAAATGAAAAGATAACGACAAAGCTTAAAATTAAATATTGTTCAGTTTCTTATTCTCTTCACAATGAGAAAAGTTAATATTGAAAATGTTTCTTTTCTACCTAATTAGGGCCGGGACGTAAAACTTGTTTATATCGATACGTATCTCGATATTTGAGCCACGATACGATATGTATCACGATATTTTTGAACAATTTATTTATAGAAGCTGTTCATTTGTTGTAAAACAATTCTTTACACAAGTGGTGTTAATATTATTATGTATTTCATATTAATATTTATATTTACAATATTTATCTCGTATATATTTAACCCAAAATGTTCAGTAAACAGAGTAAAAATGAGTCAGAACAATCTTTGGCGATATTCCGATATTTCTACATACGTATCGATATGCCTATTGTCCTCACACAGAATCGATATATCGTCCTAGCCTTAAATTTAATGTCTTTTTCATCAGCAATCATAGAAACACTTGTGTATGAGAGGACATATGTGAGTTTAAAAAGAGGCATCTGCTGACATCCAATCAAGCAAAAATCAGTGATAAAATGTAATATTTCAATAAGTTTTAGATCGATCACAGAATTTACTACTCGATTAGTCAATCTCCCATTGCAAATGAAAGGTAGATAGGAAATCAATTAATCGAAACGATATTCATAAAAAAAATATCACAGACTACATCAGTATTGTACATGTACTACTGCAATTTATTTGTATGAAATTAACATTATGAAAATTCTTATTCATAAAGTACACAAAGTTGAAAGCTACTGAGACCTTACAAATCTCTCTTGATACTCACAGTCAATGAATTCTTATATAAAGGTAATCATTTTCAGACAGTGGACAACCTTGGACCACTGGAGTGGATTCTAAATACACCTAGTCATCATAGGGTTCATCACGGCAGAAATCGATACTGTATCGATAAAAACTACGGCGGGACTTTGATAATATTTGATCGAATATTTGGTAAGATTCAGTTCTGTATTATTACCAAAAAAGTGTAATACAAAAAAATTATATTATCAATTCACATGTAATCTAAAACGGTATTTAAAAATGTCAGCGGACTGTAAGAGAATTGTGATGACTACTGTATTCGAATTTACAATGTAAAACTCACGTTCTATTTAGGTCTTTCCGTATTAACACTGTGTACACTCAAATCGAAGAGTTCTTGTAAAATGTTGCTTATTTTTTTCATGATGACTGACGGATTTCTACCATGTAACATTGTATGTTTCTCTTTATTTAAAAGCCATGCTGTGTATGTTATATGTATATAAAAGCAAATCGGTAATCAGAAATTAGGCTTAAATTTTCATATGTAGTACTGAAAACATTCCTTAATGAAAATGTCAGAATCAAATCTCGATCAACATTAATCTCGGGGTGTGAAAATCAACATTATTTCGTTTTTTTATCAACTTTTGTTGTTTGTTTTAAATTTGTCAGTTTTGTGAACAAAAATTCTTTCCATTTCTCAAAATCTACTCTACCGATTTAAATAATTTTAATAGATGTTGATATTATATTTCTCTACAAGCCCAATTTGATAACAAATATATTTCTATATAGTAACAAGACCAGGTGTGTGTCTAGACCTGCGCAGCTTCTTTTGATAATTGATTTAAAAGTTCAATAATAATTTTTGCACTTTCGTATGTTGAATGTCTGTGAAAATCATACAGGGATGAAAGGTTCGAATATTCTAAGAAGAAGTAGGTATGGGTTTGGCTGTATTGTGCCATAAAAATTAATGTTAATGTGAAAAATTAATGAGTTGAGTATATGAATGTAATGATACAAAATCAACAACAACAACAACAACAATACAAAATAGGAGCAGAGCAAACACGGACCTTCAAACATCAGAGGCGGGATCAGGTGCCATGGAGAAGTGAGCAACCCCTGCCGACCGGTCACACCGCCGTGTGCTCCTTGTCATGATCGGGAAATAACGGAAAAATCCGTCGACAATTCAGTGTGTAAATAATGGCCTAACAATTAGTATGAAAAACGTCAGTCAGCATTTGACTCAATGATAAATTGTATTTGCTGACAAGGTCATTGTATCGACCACAGAACTTACGAAATGATGACTTTAAACGAGACAGCTGATATTCTTGTTTCATCAACTTATTTGTCAATAATTTACCTCGTTTTAGAAATTGTACATACGTAGAGCATGCTCTTGCGTATCGAATCAACTGAGAGATATATACCCCGTATGCAGGTGATGAAGGTATATTGCTGCATAAGTAAGGGAAGTTGACGATTGAAAAGTTAAAGTCATCACGTTTATCATAAAGCTTGGTTGTTAGATTACCATTTCTAAGTTTTAAACAGAAAAAGCCTCAAAAAGACTCATTTCAGAGGCTATTTTGCTTCAGAAAATAGGGGTCACAGCCGTCGCCCACTTCAGTTTTCAGATATGTTGAGTTATTTTTTTTTTTGAAGAACTCCCAACTTATTGGATACTCAAGAGCATGCTCCGAGTACAATCAATTTTTGAACCGAGTCAGGCTACTGACAGATAAGTTGAAATTACAGGGATTTCAACAACCTCGTTTAAAGTTAGCATTTCGTAAATAATGTGGTCGTTATAATGCCCTTGTTAGCAAATATAACCTACAGTATCATTGGGTCGTATTTTGGCTAACTTGTTTCATACCAATTGTTAGGTTTTTGTTTTTAATACTGAATTTGACTATCGAATGTTCAACCCACCTGATCAATACAAAGGGTTCACGGCGGGTGTGACCGGTCAACAGGGGATGCTTACTCCTCCTAGGCACCTGATCCCACCGCTGGAATTTTTAGGGGTCCTTGTTTTATGCCCTCCTCACAGATTTGTATTGTGTATAGATTTTTTGAAATTGATCACTGTTCGTTATCGTCACCTTTTTCACATTTCTCAAAATCTTTGTGGGCGATGCATGTAGTCAATATAATCTGAAAGAAAATTACACTTAAAATTGATGTCTTCTGCAATTTTTTTTTTCAGAAGATACTGGAAAATGCACAAATTGATGACGTCACAATTAGCGTTTAGGAGGTCACATAAGAATAACGATTTGTGTGGTCTTATTGCATATATAGGATTTCAACGATTCAAAAAGTTTTAATTTCTTAGATCTCATATATTTAAGAAAAATACAGGGCCAAATCTGTATTAAAACGGTACCTTGTTCTTTCGCTGTAAATGTAAAATACTAGGTCAATGTAACTGTCCCCATAACTTGCATTACGTTACAAATAAAAGGAACTCTGGATGTTAACAAGTTACAAGTTAGCCAAACTCTACACTGTTTAAACCGAGTTGCGTGAAAAGAAATGAATGTTCAATAACTGAAGAATCGGCATTATTTTTTTCTCTCATTTAAATATATATAAAAAAAGAACACGAGAAAAGTGCTTGTCACATATATTAAATATATTTAATATCTTAAATTTTTCGAATTTGGTGACTGTTTTTTGCCAGTAAACTTCTCGTTTGAAAATATCGATCTTTGATTGATCGCATGATAGAGGTGAATATAAATTTATGGAATAAAAAAGTTAAACCTATGTACTTTTGTACTCTGAATATCAATAGAAGAGAAATATTGCTGAATAAATTCGAAACAGCAAAGGCATTATATGCTCAATTTTATTTCTAGACCACGAAGCTAAAATCGACGGTATTATCATTTTCAGGGTGAATAGAAACAAAGTGTTATTGCCTAGAATAGGGGGAAATGGTATGAAATTCTTGACGTAAACATAACACTTGGTCGTTAAGATTTCAACAGGATAACGCCGGCGCACTGTGATTCCTATCACATAATTCCAGTGTTTACAACTCCACTGATCACGAGATAGATCGACCAAAAACGTTTTATCAGTCTGTTTTACGCGCTTAAATAGAATATATATTTGCTGAAATATAGATTATGTCATTAAGCTGAACATAAGTGAATTTGCATATGTAGAAAAATCTGCTTTAAGTGCAAGTCAACCCATATCATTGAATCTCACAGGGGCTAGAATAGAGTCTGTAATATTCAATAATTTGAATCAAAACCATTATCTCTCCTTTCAGGAACATTTGCAAAAGAGCAGGAAGAAGTCGTATATGGACTAGTCCACCCTCTTACGTCATGGGACCCCATTAACGCGCAGGTAGGGACCCCAGTATACAACAAATAGACATCTTATGTTAAAGAGAGATACACCTTATTGCCTAGAATTTAATTTACGCTCGGCAAGATACTTGGGAAAAAAAAAGATCTGCCAAAAATGGTTTATCTATCCTTGCAGAATTTGGCGTTTATCTACTGATGTAAAATGATATTTTTTTCAGCGAGCATCATTTTTCATAATGTGTATTGAGGAAAATTTCCAACGTACATTTTCGGAGCATGTTAATAAGATAATAATGAAAAAAAAAATGAAGATATAATTAAATGAAACAAGAAAAAAGTTTAAACGTAATGTCTTTTTACTCGCCAATATTTACACAATATCAACAAAAGGTTTATAAAATGAAAGGGTATCGGATGCTGGATTTGACCTACATTTTTTGTATGAGTGGCCAGGGTTTAGTTTTTGGAGCAGATACATTCTAGAGTAACTGTAAGCCCTATGTTGACGAAACCTGCAGGGCTGATACATCTAACGAGCACACTACCAGACTTGCCTTAGATGCTGGATTTGAATTGCATGTTCCTGATGAGCCACCAGGTTAAAGTTTTTGGAACATATTTCATTCCTAAGTTACTATAAGTCCAATACTGACCAATCATGCATTGATGATACATTTATTGATGCACGCTTCTGGACTAGCTTTGGATGCCGTATCTGTCCTATATTATCCGGATGAATGACGAAGTTAAAATTTTTGGAGGAGGTCCCCAAGAAAATATAAGGTCTATCTAAACCAAACTTGCATGGATAATGCAACAAGTGATGCAAACTACCAGGATTCCATCGGATGCTGGATTTTACGTACATTTCTAGTGACCAGGTTGAAGTTTTTGGAGCAAGTTCATTCCAGTGTAACTTCAAGCTCTACCTAGACCAAAGTTGAATGAATGATGCAACAAGGGATAAACACTCTCTGACTTTGCCTCGGATGCTGGATTTGACCTACATTTTCCAGAGGAATGACCTGGTAAAAGTTTTAAGAGAAGGTACATTCCACTGTAATTTCAACCCTATCTGGACAAAACTTTAATGGATGTTGCATCTTGGGATACACACTACCAGACTTGCTTCAGATGTTTGACCTACATTTTAAGGATGGATGACCAAGTTAAAGGTTTTGGATCATGTTAATTCCAGTTTAATTTTACGCCCCTCGTAGATCAAACTTGCAAACTAGCGTGTATAATCTAGGGATGCGCGCCAGACTTACTTTGGATTACGCTTTCCGAATGAGTGACCAGGTAAATATTCCAAAGTAAATATCAGGCCAACCTAGACCAAACATGTATGGATGGTGCAACAAGGGATACACACTTACAGACTTGAAACAAGGCCCTATCCAAGAGACTGCAAGCCCTATCTGGACCAAAGTTACACAACTGTTGTATCTAGGGATGTACACTAGCAGATTATTAGTTTGGTGTGGGACTTAGCTCTACTCAGGGATAGCTCTGTAATCTTTGATTATCTATGTTTATTTATTATTCTTCATCTGTGTTCACCTATGACATGTACGTGTACTTTATGAATACATGTATTCCTTGGTATGTGTATAGCTCGCTTTATAGATAAAAGGTAAAATACGCAATTACATATTATCGGTTTGCAAAATACACCTTTAATGACTTTAAGATTATCAGACCATCCAAAGCTATCAACATTAGGATATTTTTGAATAGCATGAAGTTACTAATGTTGGCATACTTCTGATTTCTAGTTTTGATTTTTTAAGACTCTAAAACAAGACATTTTTAAAAAAAAAAATTCTAACGTATGCATGCTTCTGATTTCCAATTGGGATTTTTAGAAGAATTTAGTCAAGATATTCATTATATTTTTTCTATTTAGATCTGTCATCTAAAATATATGTGGAGTGTATTCAAAGAAACAAAGGGGTTTGCAAACAAGCTGGCAGTAATTTGGAAAGGACCTGGTTGGGCCCCGGGCAAACCTCGAACTGGCCTAACTGAAGATATACCAGATGCAAGTTATTGTACTTTATTTTACACTCAATGAATGTTTCCTTCCAGTTGAATTAAAGTTAATTTCTTCAATGAGATATTTCAGTTTGAGACATCCTCAATGTATTTTCTGTTCATTGATTGAGGTTTCTCAATTTTTACATTGTAACTTCATGACAAAACTGATTTAGATAGGAAAAGTTGACTTGATATAAACCATATTCTATCAAGAGAATTTTGGAGTGTTCAAATGCCTTACACTGTAAGCGACCCGTGATCGTTTTGGTTTATCAATAAACCTTTTCCGAATCCCAAGGGGGTATTTGGTGAGCTAGTAATGGCCAATTTAATATTTTTGCTTTTGATATTTTCTAATACGTCATGCCGAATTCGAATCAATGCAACAAAATAAAGTTAACTAGAATAACATCATCGGAAACAAACTTGAGACCATTTTATTACGGCTGGAAAATTGTTGTTTCTTAGTTGATTTCACTTTGATGTAAAGAAAACGTGCATTATGAATTACAAACAAACATTGTGTGTTAATGTGATATATCATTGCGATTTCATTCAAGTATGTGATTGAGATACATGCAATTTAGTTCGATTGATTACTAGTATTTAATAAATCTTTATCTTTATGAGGATACTTCTTCCATATGGATATTTCTTCATACCATTTTCGATATAAAAAAGGTGTCGCCATAATCTATTTATCATTAAAAATCTCTCAAAACATTACGTCTACAACTTTGATATTTGGTCAATAAATTTTGATAGAAATGTAAATGTATAGAGTACAAAAAAATTAATTCTTTAATTCACTTTTTCATTTTGAAAAATGATATTTTCTGATATTTACGGATTTTTTTCGTTTGCCCGATCATGACAATGAGCACACGGCGGGTGTACCCTGTCGACAGGGATTGCTTACTCCACCATGGCACCTGATCCGACCTCTGATGTTTTTAGAGGTCAGTGCTCACAGTACCTCTGTTTGTTTTTTTAAGAATACATTTTGGTACACTGGTAGTCTACATAAAGATACAAATTTGTATCGATTTTCAAAATCTAATCCCATCTGATTTTTTTTAAACCTCCCGCTTAAAAAGCGGGGGAGGGGGTGCATAGTGACGGGGATCAGGGGTGTCCGTCCGTCCAGTTGTACGTCCGTCCGTACGTCTGTTATGCTTTGGGGTACACATCTCTTTTCCGCAACTCCTCTTAAACCACTATACCACTAAATAAAATTTAATGATACTTTCACAGAATCTTTTTTACATAGTACAATTGTGCTCCTCTTATTAAATTTTTGATAGGACACATATTTCGGGTTTCCAATAACAAAACACAGAACACTGCCATTTTTCAATAATATTGAGGGGAACCCAGCTCTTATCTGCAACTCCTCCTATACAATTGAATATAATTTAATGATACTTTCACAGAATCTTTTTTACATAATGCTTTTGTGCACCTCTTATTTTAATTTTTGATCGGAAACATATTTCGGGTTTCCAATAGCACAACACAGAACACTGCCATTGTTTCTATAATATTGAGGGGTACCCATCTCTTATCCGTAACTCCTCTTATACCACTGAACAAGATTTAATGCTACTTTCACAGAATCTCTTTTACATAGTGCCATTGTGCACCCCCTATTTTACTTTTTGATCGGACACTTAGTTTCCAATAGCACAACACAGAACACTGCCACTGTTTCTATAATATTGAGGGGTACCCATCTCTTATCCGTAACTCCTCCTATACCACTGAACAAGATTTAATGCTACTTTCACAGAATCTCTTTTACATAGTGCCATTGTGACCCCCTATTTTACTTTTTGATCGGACACTTAGTTTCCAATAGCACAACACAGAACACTGCCACTGTTTCTATAATATTGAGGGGTACCCATCTCTTATCCGTAACTCCTCCTATACCACTGAACAAGATTTAATGCTACTTTCACAGAATCTCTTTTACATAGTGCCATTGTGCACCCCCTATTTTACTTTTTGATCGGACACTTAGTTTCCAATAGCACAACACAGAACACTGCCACTGTTTCTATAATATTGAGGGGTACCCATCTCTTATCCGTAACTCCTCCTATACCACTGAACAAGATTTAATGCTACTTTCACAGAATCTCCTTTACATAGTGCCATTGTGCACCCCCTATTTTATTTTTTGATCGGACACTTATTTCGGGTGTCCAATAGCACAACATAAACTTCAGACTCGGGGATCTGAGAAACTTTTCAGGAAAAAATAAACCTGTCAGTATAACACGGTTATGGTGAACATGAGGCTTACATGTACAATTCACAGCAAAATGATTTTCATTTCCTGTAGTTTAAAAAGGTATTATGAAATCATATCATTGGTTATGACTAATTACGTGTATAACGAATCAATGTTTGTCCTTGGCACTTAGCTACATGTATAAGCGTGTTTTATTCAAGATAAAATTGTTCAAAGTCTTAAGTCTAACTACCCCCCCCCTTTCCAAAACTGGTTAAGTCTCAAGGCTCATAAGAAACTTCTGGTTGATGTTATAACAGTATATATATATTGTCTGTCATTGCGCTAAAATGCTAAGATTGAAATTGTTGAAGTGTATCGTATGTTTAATAGATCCATGCTCCACAGGAGAAATTTGATAGACGGTTACCATTATGGACAAATCTCTACATCTGGATACATATGCTTCTATTGATTGTTTTTTATGGTGTCCTCGCCAGATATAAAACGGTAAAGCCGTTCAATTTATTTGTGGAAATACTGTCTTTTTTTTGTTTTGTCGAATTATATTTTAGGGTAACTGTTTGTTTGTTGTTTAACGCCCCTTTTGAGAATTTTTCACTCATATTGAGACGCCACCATTTGCTGTTAGAGGGCTGCAAATTTAGACCTGTTCTCGGCACTTAGGGCCTTTGAGCAGTGAAGGATCTTTTTTGTGTCAGCACCTACTGCGACACGGGACCTCAGTTTATAGGTGTCATCTGAAGGACCGGTCTCCACGTCGTACAGGGATCAACTCCAAACGCCCTGACTCTAGAGCAAACGGTCTGACCACTGCGCCACGCGGGCGACGTAGGATAAATGAAAATTAAATAAGGACTAACATTTACTGCAATCTGACACATAGGGAGTCAGGGACTATATCGTTTTAATCAACTAATTTCTTCCAATTCTGATTCTATATACAGGTATAATTTACAAAATTACAGAACCGTTCACGGTAGCTCAGTCGGTAGAGCGCTCCTTAATCCGGAGGTCGTGAGTTCGAATCCAAAATCTTGTACGTGAAAAGAAGAAAACACTTGCTGTGGCCTTCAACTCGACATTTAGATATATCGACGATGTATTGTCAATTAACAATGGCTTTTTTCATTCTTATGTCGATACGATATATCCTGGTGAGCTTGAGATAAAAGATACCACAGAGTCTAACACATCTGTTTCATATTTGGATATTTTACTTGAAAAAGACGTTAATGGAATCTAACAACCAAGCTTTATGATAAACGTGATGACTTTAACTTTTCAATCGTCAACTTCCCTTGCTTATGCAGCAATATACCTTCATCACCTGCATACGGGGTATATATCTCTCAGTTGATTCGATACGCAAGAGCATGCTCTACGTATGAACAATTTCTTAAACGAGGTAAATTATTGACAAACAAGTTGATGAAACAAGAATATCAGCTGTCTCGTTTAAAGTCATCATTTCGTAAGTTCTATGGTCGATACAATGACCTTGTCAGCAAATACAATTTATCATTGAGTCAAATGCTGACTGACGTTTTTCATACTAATTGTTAGGCCATTATTTACACACTGAATTGTCGACGGATTTTTCCGTTATTTCTCGATCATGACAAGGAGCACACGGCGGGTGTGACAGGTCGGCAGGGGATGCTCACTCCTCCATGGCACCTGATCCCACCTCTGATGTTTAGAGGTCCGTGTTTGCTCTGCTCCTATTTTGTATTGTTTAATGGACTTTTGAGCTTGAATACTGTTCGTTATCTCCATATATTTCATCGCGGCCGCGACTGACCTAGAGTCGTTAAAAAAAATGAATAGCAACTGATCCTTCCCATGCGCTCGGCACTTTGAAGTGAAAGTTGCGGGTCCTTCGAATGAGACCTTAAAAACCGAGGCCCTGTGTCAATGGCACGATAAAGATCCCTCACTGGTCAATGGTCCTGAGTGCCGAGTAAAGGTCAAAATTTGAAGCCCTTCTCCGGTATATAGTGACGTCTCTATATGAGTGAAAAATTCTCGATTGGGACGTAAAAACAACATACAATCAATCAATCAAATTTACAGACACTGTGCTTGTTATATTAAGAATTCTTTATAGTTACGACAGTGTATTGCTTACACGTAATATGTTTTTTTCTCAAGGAATTTTCTCCGTATCTCACTGTGACAGGTGTGGTATTTATTATTTTTACCTTGTCAACTTTTGGTGCCCTGTATGATAACAGGTAAGTTGAAATAAACATTTTAAATTCTCTATGATCTCTTTTTGTGCGATAAAGAATAATATATTATGATAACCTATTCACCGTTTTTATCAATACTTGCACAGTGACAGTCTGAAAAAGTAACAAAGAAGATTGCTATTATTTTCAATTTCAATTTCAAACTCTCATTGAAAGATTTAAGATTTACAAATTCAGTGGTAAGGAAGATATCCAGCCAATTGTCCCTAACGTTAATTTAACATGAAAGTAACATCAAATTAACATCAAGCTAACGTTAATTTAATGTTAATTGAGATTAACATTAAATAAACGTTAGGCACAATTGGCTGTATAGTCAATAGTACTAGTAAGTCTCAATGGCGTTACAATTTAATCAAGGTGAAGGTAGAGTTTTTTTTTAGATTCTAACAGAAACTAAAATTGGCTTACCTTTTACTGTATCTACGTGGCGTATAACACATAACACATAAACCATGTATTCATATTTCTGGTGTGACGCCCTACCCACATCCCATCAACAGTTGAAAGATGAACTAATTATAATCTACCTCCATCGGCTATCAGATGATTTTATTTTCTGTTGATGGGATGTAGGGGTGACATTGCTTATTCACTTCCTGGTTATAATCATTAAACTACAAATTATCTATAAAAGCTTGCAATGTCATAATTTGACCAATTATCCTCCTGTTTTACAGATCCCGAGCTTCAATCCAGGAGCTTCTTCGATGCCTTGTCTTTCTGGTGGTTGTAAAGAGTGTTGCTGCGCCTTCTTTCATCTCCTCTTTACCAGGACTCTCCCTTCTTCTTGTTTACTTAATGTCCTTGTTTGTGTGGTTCTTTGTGTAAGACAAACTTCTGTCAGAATTAAAACCAAGACATCTTAGAGACAGACGAAGAAGACTCACAAATCGACTGTGATACATTGTAAAACCATCTTTAAAAAAGTGTCTGTTTGACCGACTGACAAAAATGGCCCAATTTTTAAAAACCTCCGATCCAGGAAACGATTATTTTTTATTCATTCTAGAATTTCTCATCCCATCAACAACTATATTAATTCAATTTGAATAATTTTGAAAATTAAGCATTAATGTTGAAAATTTCTTTTTAGATTTTTTTCTTACCTCTTACTTACTTATTCAATTTTTCACATTGAGTCAGGAGAGGGCAAGCAAACATTTTTTTAAAGATGGCAAAATAAACAATCTAGTTTTCCTATTTGTTGCTTTCAGGCTTGGGGTAATGCTAATTGTAATGGTAATGCATTGCAATGCATTACTTAAACTTAACGTAATGCTAGTAATGTGTAATGACAAAAAATTACATATAATGGTAATGTAATGCATTACTTTCCCAAATCCAGAGTAATGCTGTCATTACATAGCATTACAAAGCATTATTTTGTATATCTATTTTAAAAAAATAAAAATGGACATGGCAACTATTGTTTACATTAAATAACTTTTTAAATGATAGAAATGAATGAAAAAAAGTTAACCCATTTAAATAAAGTCTCTGTATCTATTTAAATACACTTTATATTTAGTTGAAAGTACAATCACCATACATTAAATGTCATATTTATTGCAGATAATATTTAATTTCAAAGAATATTTAAAAGAGTTTAACAGTAAATTCCTTTAAAAATGAATCTGGTAAGAGATACACTTCTTAGTGTACTATGTAAACTGATAATTGCCACCTTTTGAATAGAGTGTCATCAAAACACACAATGCCATTAGGGTTAGATAACAATTAAAACAAGAGAGAAGTGCTCCAAAAACCAGCCCCTTTCCCCAGGCTGTGTTTATGAAACATTAATTGAGCTGGTCTAGCTTGAGCTGACCATGACCATTCCATTGCACCAAAAGGAATAGAAGACAGGCATTCTACTTTTAGCAGAGCAAAATGTACATACTGTCCAACCCTTGTTACAAGTTTACCTATGCATTATTTTTTTCATAAGGTATCAGATCCAAACAATCTATTTCTTATTAATTTAGATAGTTTTGGGAAGGGGTTTAAGTGCCCTAAAAGTTAAATTGCTTTATGACATCAATATAGTTACACAAAATGTAAATATTGTATGTTTTTATCTTATTGGCAATTGAAAAGTTTGAACTTCTTATGAATAAAAAAAATATGTAAATTATTTACAGTGTAATAAAAATAAGTACTTGAAATCAAATTTGAATAAACAGTCATCAAGTTAAGTTTTGAACTTATGGGGTGCATGTTAATGAAAATAGTTGCACATGTTTTGTATTTCTAATTTTGAAAAAACCCAAAAGTAATGGTAATGCATTACTTAAAGAAATTAGAGTAATGGTAATGGTAATTTAATGCCCAAATTCTTGAAGTAATGGTAATGTAATGCATTACTTTACAATGTAATTCACCCCAAGCCTGGTTGCTTTTATGCATGCTTCATTTGTTATAATTATTTTAACGATTGAAAATACTACAACTTAGAGATTTATTGAAAATGATTTGGTCATTCTACATTATATATCCTGTGTGTGTGTGTGTTTATTTGATATTATGGCTATAGTTAGACTCACTCATTTCAGCTTTAAAGGTTGAGCATTTTATTATTTATCTTGTTTACCAATATAATATCCAGTTTATCCATAAGAATGGATAACTTTGTCTTATTCACACATCATAATTCACTGCCTCATGTTTTGTATGATATATATATCAATATATATATCAATAAATATCAATATCAATATATATATATATATATATATATATATATATATATATATATATATATATATATATATATATACGAGCGCTTAAGATACATCAATGAATTTTTAAACATGAAATAAGCATTTTCTTTTCTTGCTGTAAAATAAACTATAAATCATAAGTTTTATTTTTTTAGTGAAAAGTAAATGATTTTGTAAGCAATGGTATGTCAAGGCGGCGCAACCTCGAACATGACGTATTTTCTACCTGAATGTAACTGAGAAAAACTCTTCTAATATGAGCATTTGTCATCCAAAATTCCCAGTAATTCACTCATATGATATGACACAATTTTTCCGTAAAAGTTGCAATTTTGACCTCATTCTGTATATTCTATGAAATTTTATAGGGAATGTCCAAATAATAAAGGGATTAAAAATGACGTCGAAAGAGAGTAGGGTGTCATGTTACAACATTCTATAAAGTTTCAGCCCCTGGAAAACCTGACATAGACCTAGAAAATGTTTAAACAAACTACAGAGAAATAAAATACATCCAGAGTACTTGTTTTAAATACAAAAGCAGATTTAGCAAGAAAAGAGACACACGGTTAATGTCGATTCGTAGTCAGGGTGTCCAAAGTCAGACACGTCGAAAAGTGACGTTGATCATTGGTTTACATTGAACTGCTGCAAGAAAATTATGCTGTCAAAATCAAGCGAGGATTTTTTCTTATGTTTATCCTAATATTTACAATATTAATGCATTGAAATCAGGTGTTCATGATATTGTAAAGTCATATAATCAAGACGGGTTTAGGTCTTTACTTTACTCCAGAGAATCTCATCAAGATAAGTGTACCGAGGCAGAGGGAGCAGACATTGAGAAACAGTGACCTTGTCGGACGTCATGAAACTAAACAGCGACAGCGCCGGGTGATCATATAAAGCCCTTTCTATTTAATGATAATTTGGCAAATTGTCAATATATCAAGCTGAAATTTTCAACACTTCTTAAACTTTTGTTCTTTTATGTTCCCTACAAATTATGTAATCAACAACTACATAATATTAATTTTATTGCATCAGTCCACAAACTTTTTGATAACCCCTCGTATATATATATATATATATATATATATATATATATATATATATATATATATATATATATATATATATATATATATATATATATGAAAATTAAAAATAACAAGGCAACAATGTTAGTAAAACGTAAGCGCTTTCATTACTTCTTCAGACGTTTTACAATAAATCAAACATGTTTGAATTGTTTTGAATTGTAAAACGTCTGAAGAAGTAATGAAAGCGCTTACGTTTTACTAACATTGTTGCCTTGTTATTTTTAATTTTCATATTAATTACCGGACACTGTGATATTTCTTTTCATTTTTTGGATATATATATATATATATATATATATATATATATATATATATATATATATATATATATATATATATATATATATATATATATATATTAGTATTCACTGCAGATCTATTTAATATTTGATATATCCTCAAAATTTTTATAGCGATATTTCTTTAAAGAAAAATAATGATAAATAATAATAATTATAATAAAACATCTAACTTAATAAGGAATCAGAATGAGGTATACAAATATACACTTTTAATGTTTGCAATGATGAATGAGAAACTTTGTTGATGGAATAGGTAAATAAATAAATAGGTATAAATTAAATCGATGTAATATTTGTTTTGAGTTTAACAGTTGAAGTTTGCAAAAGTTTATAAATTTTCCCTTATAGTATTATTTTGATTTAAATTTAATTATAATTGTAGTGTACCAAAATATCTATAGACAAACTATTAATAAATCCAATATAAATCTTTTATTGTCTTCAAAAGATATTATCTGGAAGACCTAGAAAAAATGGCCCCGCACTACATTGGTCTGAACTATACTTCTTTATTCCGCTTTATATATCTCCTTGACGTTAATTAATACAAATTCATGTCTCGGCGAAATATACAGGATCTTTTTCTGTAAAACAAATCGACATTATTTTTTGTCCATTTTTATCTGATTACTGACTGGTGAATACACATAAATTTCCATTTATAGAAATAATTAAATAAAGAAGCAATAAAACGTAAATATTAACTGTTATAGTTGGTTTACAAAGGAGAAAATACTGTCCATTGGTTTCCTGTGTTATTTTTTTAAACAGTGACATTGTCCAATCAAAATCTGTATTTATGAGTAACTGAATACATTTAAAATAAAATGTTATCCATTGATTTTAGAAATTTGTTTTGAACACACACACACACACACCCTCACACACACACACACACACACACACACACACACACACATGCATCCCTATTCATTTTTAATTATATGATTTCATTCTCAAACTCATTTTCTCTGATCAGCGACTGATCACTTTCGCATTGAAGATTATTGGCTGTTATTTAGACTGTTTGTGCTCAAGATTGTGCAATCTAGAGATTAAGATTGATTTCTCTTCACTAAATGGCTCGATGTCAGTAATAAATGCCTCACAGATTAAGCCAATGCGTCTCTTCAGTTGAAAGGAAGATACAAACTACCTTTTGATTTTATGTTTAGCAAAGATATCGATGAAACCTTTGAGAAAAACATTACATGTAAACCCTGCAAAATTCACTTTTGAAAGCTCAGTATGATAACATTATGTTGAGCTTTTTTGTGTTTTGATTTATTTTGTTACTCTCAATTTTTGAATGGGCGATGTGATTGTTGGACTTGAGTGGAACTATCTCACCTTTTTGTAGCATTGGCCAGTGTTCGAGTAGAAATCGGTATCGATTTAGCCTTTCTTTACTGAACATAAGAATTTAAATATAATAAGTTGTTTTGCACCAAAAAATAACATTTGAATACAGATAAGAATGCATAGTCACGCCCGTCAAGGTACATTTGACAAAGTGTATGTTAATATATCACTCTGTGACATGTCGCCCTGCCATTAAACCTCCAAAGACGAACTGAATGACGGGAAATTACAGGAGACCGGATATTGGCGTGAAGAAAAGTCGAGAGAGGAAATGGACTTTATGAAGACTTTATTTGCATGCATTAATGCTGTAAATTTAGTTACATAAATAAGGAATGGCTTGCTATTACTTTTATGATCTGTGCAAGTAATCAAAGGTTGATTGTATTGCAAATTGTTCTTTGGACTGCCAGCACAACCAAGAAGAAACCTCCTTACAAATTGAAACGAAATAACAATTTGCTTACTCTTTTTCTTGTTAGAAGTGATTTAAACAGCATATGTTTGACGGAAATATCGCTAAAAAATTTATGTAATTTATTGAAAGAAATGTCAGAAAATGCACAATAAAAATCATCAGTAGACAATTAAGATAAAGCTATTATCTTTTAAATGAATTTTTGTATAATTTTTCAATAGGATTCAGATTTTCAAATTCAATCCAATTGGTGTAAATCTCATCAAAGATATTTGCCAATATCATTCAAACGTCATTGTAACAGGAAATAGCTATGCGCTCTCTAACAGATAGAAGAATAAAGTGTGGAAAGTAAAAATGCGGTGTTATGTTTGGAATATCTGTTGGTGAAAAGAGTGAAGGAAAAACAATTATTATCTAGGGCACATTGATGATTGGAAATGGAACATGTATCAGTTAAAAATTTATAAGTTGTCCTTCGTTTGATTTATTTTCTTATATTTTGGGGTTCTCTCAAGAACTAATATAAAAGCTACACACTAACTACCTAGTTCAGGCACAATAAAACAAAGCAAAATGTATCCGAAAAAGAAACAATAATGATTCAAGTTATGTTCAAATTGTAGCTGCAGTGATCAGAACGAAAGCACTAAAGATTTCTCATCTTTTCTTCATCAGAGTACAAACTAAAAAAAGATAAAATCATACAATTCCTTATATATTTCTAATCAAAACTTTGAGTGGGTTTAAAGTTTAGCATGATATTGCTCATGATCTTTGTCATAATCTTGACTTAACGTCAAAGACACAAGTCAGTGATCCGTATTTATTTATTTTCCCTCGGATTAAATCGTCGCACATTCATTGGTTTAAATGCGAAACAACAGGTAACAACATTAACTTTGTTTGTAAGGCTCATAATTTGAATTGTATTAGGATTTAATTCTGCAAGTGGTAATAAAACTTATACACATAGCTCCATTTCTTAGGAGGAAATTCTTCAAAGCCATATATTAGTTTTGAATATTTTTAATATTCCCAAAAATCAATATGAATTTGAATTGCCATACCTATACTGGATTCCAAAACTTCTTAAAAATTCTTACAAAGAAAGATACATACCGGGTTGCAGTAAATGTTCTACCAATCTTCTTTCATTACTCCTCACTGAAATATCTACAACCGTGAAGGAGAAACCTCAGGAGTACTGTACAACAGTATATTCCAGAAGTGGTGTAAATCAGATGCTGAAATTTAAAAAAAACTCCAAGAAACTTTTAGAAAAATTGAAATCACAAAATTTTATAAAAAAAAAAATCAATAACATCAAAACGTACGACTTTTCAACACTTTATACAACACTTCCCAACGATAAATTAAAGTCCAGGCTTTTTGACATCATAGACAGCGTTTTTTTCAATAAAAATGGAACTCGTAAATATACTAACCTTGTGATTTGCAAAATTATTTTGTTAAAAACATTCTAATTGTACACACAGTACTCTGAAGTTGATATTTAAAAGATGCTGGAGTTTCTGATTGACAATA